TATATACCCCAAGCCACGGTGCCAACATGTCGCTCGGACTCAACTGAGTTCCGCCTGCAGGGCGAGGCGTTTGCCCCTAGGCAACCCTCGCAGACACAGCTCCGTATCTTGCCTTCCCTGGTGCAGGACTTGATGGATCCCCTCCTGGTTGGGTCCCACCTCCGGGTTCGATTTACCCGAACTCGTTTAGAGGCACCAGCTGGGGGATGATTCTCTGTTCTTTGAGCCGGTGGTTGACGAGTGCGTGTTCACTTCGGTCACCCTCAGGGGAGGCTCGACTCAGGGCGGTTAATTCCACCGTTTGCCCTAGCGGGCGCCCCCCTACAACAGGCATACCAGACTTACAAGGAAGTCTACCGGAATGCCATGCAGCAGGTCCGGGTAGTGGTGTACAAGGCCTACCTTTCCTCTATCCAAAGGTCGGGTCTGGAGGCGGAAGCGAGCACTGGGGATGTTTCCCCGAATGTTGTTTTGCTTATCTGAAGTGCAGGCCTACCTGATGCGAGACTCCTTGCGGTCTGCCGCGTCTACGGTGATGTGCGCAGTCTACATCCCATTATTCGGCAGCAATACAGCAGACCTTGCTGGCCCTTCCGTTTTGGCTGGGAGCGATGTTGTTTCCGGGGGTGCAGCAGGTCATTTGGGAGGCTGCTGCAGCAGCTACCTCCTTCAAGGATTCTAAGGCCTTGTTGGAGCAACCGCGGGTTTCTCGCTCCCACGCTCCCGTAGCGGGTTCTTCCTCCGGGGCGCAACCTACGCCCGAGTCTGCTGGCTGGCTTAGGCCACTGGGTAGAGGTAGGAGGAGGAGCCGTCCCGCCAAAGGTAAGGGCAAGGAGCAGGCCTCTTCGTCTGCCCCGACCTCCCGTTAAACCTGCAGTCCCTGTCCCAGTCAGTTCATCTGCAAGGGACCACTCACGCCCTCTTACCACACGTCCCAGTGGGGGGCCGCCTCTCTCTATTCCTGCCGGAGTGGGAGAAGGCTACCAGCAACACTTGGGTGCTATCCACCGTCTGTGTCAGCCATCTACCACTGTGAAAGCAAGGCCCGCCAGAGTTCACCGGCATACGTCGCACTCAAGGCGGGTATACTGCAAGACGAAGTTCAGCCTTTGCTGGACAAGTCCGCAATAGAGCGCATACCACCGGGTGAGGAACAGCTGGGGTTTTATTCCACGTACTTCCCATTCTCAACCTCAATGTATTACCAATTCACGGTGCTCCCCTTGGGCATATCCACTGCCCCCAGGGTGTTCACCAAGCTCATGTTAGTGCCCGCTGCCCTCGCAAAGGTTGCAAGGAAGGCGTTGTTACCCTTACCTAGACAACTGGTTGCTCAGCGCTCTAACTCAGCCAGCGAGCCTAGATTCTACCCACACGGTGATAGACATTCTCATTCGGCTGGGGTGGATCATAAACCTCAAGAAATCTGACCTGGTACCCACCCAGGACTTGGTTTTTCTCGGGGCGCGGTTCACAACTGACAAAGGTCTTGTCTCTATGTCGCCTGACCGGGTGACCAGAGTATGGCAGATGGTGTCTTCGTTACTCTCCCAGCCCCAGGCACCAGCGGACCACTCATTCCCCGGGTCCTCTCCCAGCTGTCGACGCAGCCAGCTCGGCTACTTGTGCTACTGGCACAGCTATGGCCGTCACAGAGCGGGTTTCCGGTAATTCTCAGGTTTCTGGCTCAGCCTCCTGTTCTATTTCCTTTGCGACCGGACATTCTCACTCAGAACAGCGCGCCATACCCCAATCCAAGGATTCAGTAGGTGGCTTGGCCTCTGTCAGGTCTAGCCTCGAAGCTCGCGGAATTCCTGCAGCAGTTGCAGACACAATTCTGGCTTCAAGGCGGGATTTGACAAACGTTCAATATGAGGATAGGTGGTCCTGCTATGCGCTCTGGTGTTCAGATAGGGGGATTGCAGATCCCTTTTCTGCGGATTTAGTCAGAGTACTGGAGTTTTTGCAAGCTCGTTTGGAAGAAGGCTTGGCGGCTTCGACCATTCGTGGCTACTCCACCGCTATTTCCACTTTCCACACTCCTGTCGATGGTGCTCTTCTGGGGCAGCACCCTCTTATGCAGCGCTTTTTAGCTGGTATGGATTGGGTTCGACCTGCTGTCAGGCGAACTAGCCCACCTTGGGATGTCAATCGTACTAGATTGGCTGTCCGGTCCTACGTTCTCACATCTATCTGCTATTTCCATTCAGCTGTTAACATGGAAGGTGGCAGTAACATCTGGGCGAAGGGCCGGCGACTTACAAGCTATTTCGGCAGACCCGGCGCTGACTGTGTTCCATCCAGATCGTGTCAGTATTCACCTCACGGATACAGTACAACCAGAAATTATTGAGAATTTAAAGATTGTAAATTTTTAATTTTTTTATGTGAATATTAGCAGAACATAACTCCAGATGCAAAGACAGGTGAACAGTTAGTATTTTGTCAAGTCACCATGGGCAGCAATGCAGGCTTCAATGCGCAGGGGCATACTACTGATCAAAGAAGTTAGAAAGTCGTGGTCCATGCTGTTCCAATATCGGACCGCCTCTTCTTTCATTTCAGCAATATTTGTCAGATTTTTCTTATTGACACTTTCCTTCATAAGTCCCCAAACATTTTCTATTGGATTTAGGTCAGGGCTATAGCTTGGCCAATCTAATAATGTCATACTTTGGGTCCGAAACCAGGCCTTTGAATGCTTTGAACCATGTTTTGGGTCGTTGTCCTGCTGGAAAATCCAAAAATTTCCATAGAACACGTGAGCAGATGGAAGTAAATGTCCCTCGAGAATATATGTGTACCGCTCACTGTTCATATTCCCTTCAAATACACAGAGGGGCGTTGCCCCTAACACAGATATGCCACCCCACACATTCAATTTCGGACTGTACTTTGGGCGCTGATACATAGGTTTTTAAGTTTGTTTGGTCCTGAATTTCAGTGTATTAGGAAGCAACCACACAGAACTTTCATCTGAGAAAATCACATTGTCCCAGTTAAAATTTCTATGCTGTAAGCACCAGTTCAACCTTCGCTCCTTTTGTTCACGTTTCATGATCGGTGATGGAATTCCTCGACTTTTCTGCCAACCCATTGCATGCAGCTCAGTTCTAATTGTCTCCTTACAGACAGCCACAGTTCCTCTATCAATCATATCCAGCCTTAGGTTTCTAAACTCCTTTGTTTGTTTTTAGAAACAAGAATACCAAGCCGCCTCCTGTCACTGACAGTCAATTTTCTGGGCCTACCTGCACCTCCCTGGTGCTCAATGCCATATCCATTTGCAATATTTTTCAAAACACGATAAACAGTGGACAAAGGCATGCCTGTTCTACTTGAAATCACTTTAGCTGATCTGATTTCCTTGTTATAATACTCTAAAATGAACTTCCTCTTCTCTAAATCATCCATACTGAGGATCACTGAAAATGCCGTCTGCTAGCAAGTAAACAAAGGGGGGATAACTCTTCACAAACTAATGAAAAAGGATTAACGGAGTTGTCTCTCTTGAATGAAACCAAGCACTTGATAGCTGGTCAAGGTTGTTTATACTAGAAATCGAATTAAACATATTCCTAAAATTCTCAATAATTTGAAACCTCTACAGGTTTAGCTAAATTATTATGTTTAACAGATTAAAAAAAGTGTGCAGCAGAGAGGGTTCGGGTAAGCCTGGCAGAGTCAGGCTGGTAAGGCTCATCATTGGCTCAGGGCCCTTGCCCCCTTTACACACAGCCCAGACAGCTACTTCTCCCATGAAGCGCTGCCTAGTTGAACCCATCAAAAACCTGCCAGAGAATATGTAGACTCCCCAACATTGCAGCGTTCTGCATTACCCAGAGTGTCAGAAGGACATGCTTTTCCTGAATCATGCAAAACACGTTGCTGTCAAAAGGGACAGAAAATTCAATAATACAAGTATATTCATTAGCTTTATCAAAAAGCACATGATCAGGTTTGTTGGCATTAATTCTTCTGAGACTGTATTTGGGCCTATTCCAATGAAGTTTAAAAGCATCATTTTCCATGATGCCCTGGACATGTTCAGGGTCAAAGTCACAGGCATGACAAAGACGATAGTAGAAGCAACAAGCCATGCCATCATGTCTTTTAAGATATGCTGAGTTTCAACTGCCTCACACTTGGCAGTTCACATTCAGAGAGAGGATGAGCATACTGGTATTGCAGGATGATTTCATTAGTATTGTATTAGTATCGCCATATATTAATTGCTGTATTAAAATCTTATGATGCTTTGTCAGTAATAGTTACAGTGATAAGTAAAATTTCAAGGGACTCGCCAAAATGTTTTACTTATCAGGTATTTTACTTTTCCAAACTTGTAAAACTTTCAAATGACAACCATATACATGTATATGTATGCATATGTAACAATGGACCACTTATCAGGGCTGGCCTCCAGCTGTCAGTGTACTGTCAACTGCATGATGCCAGCGAGCTGTAAGTAGGATGTTTGTTTAGCTGGAGACTTACACGTGCCCCTCATTTCAGATTATGTGGTGATTGTAATTTAGTTATCCGGTCTCTTTTGTTAAGTAACTTACTTCCAGAGGCCGTGAGAAGACGTTTTGTTAGGCAGTATTGTTTACTTATCCGAGTTTAGTTATCCGGACCCTAATAGTGATAATTAATGAAAAATATTTCTGGGACCAAAGAATAGTGTTTACTTATCTGGTCTGTTTAGTTAAGCGGTCTTTAGGTAGGCAGTTTCAACTGTATGCTAAAGTGTGCTGTGTGAGCTTAGTAATCTTTGAAAAAGGACAGTCCCAGGTTGAAGATACCAAACTGTTTATTGCCAAAAAAAACACCCAAATAACAATGTGATGAGTTACTTTTTGACTGCTTTGTTTCACAAAAGTGGTATAGCTTGGACATGTTGGAAATTGCACTGGCCATAATGCCCACTTTTGGTTTAAGTGTTGAAATAATTTGTCAGCAGTTGATTGTTTTTCACATGTAGTACAAATATGTTCCAGAGCTTCAGAAAGTGTTCAACGCCTCAGCACAGTCGGGTATGCAGATGGGGTAAGTGGTCCTAAAGATTCTTTCATCTTTTGATAATTAAATTTGGATGTCAGATGTGTGTATTTTAATATTTTATTATGCCTTGCTCATCAAAGAAGAAATGACATTTCAGTCTTTATTATACCCCCGCTACGACGTAACGGGGGTATATAGCGTTCATTCTGTCCGTCCGTCCCGAAACTTTGTCTGGAGCATATCTCTTAAAGTTTACATGCTAGGTTCACCAAACTTCACAGCATATGATGTGGCTATATCTGGCCACAGCATATCATCAAAACTATACATGCTAGGTTCACCAAACTTAATACACAAGTTAATCATGACCCACAGATATGCTATGTGCTAAAAAAGAACAATCTTCATCTACGTCCACTTCATTGTGTGCAACAAGTTCAATTGTATGTCAGGTTTCCACGGAAAACACAAAAAAATATTGTTTCCATAAATTATTACTGTAATCAGTACATGGCAAAACTATTATCTAACATGTATATAAACTTTAGTAGAGTCAAGGAGAAAGTCTTGTGAGCTGCTGATCTTTGTCACATTATATATATCAATATCAGTCATTTCCATGTCCCAAACTGGGAAGCGGGGGTATGAGAGCTGTGCTCACTTCTACACTTGATTGATGTCTATATTCCACGCATGCTTATTGGAAATCAATTTATTGTCTCATCAGTAGACACTGCAACAAGCAAAGCTATTAAAGCAAAACATTGTTTGGAGATGTATTAGGGGTGCAACAATACCTGCCTGTGTAACAATGTTACATACTGCAATTCTTGATGTTTAATAAACACATTGTGCACCATAGTCTGTTTGCAGTGAAATCGTACCGATGAATTTCACTTTAAACAAAAAAAGTAAATCAAATAAAGTGAAATTAAGATTGTGAATCCTTATAATTTTACCTTGCCAAATGAACATTTAACTCTCAGAATTTTATTCAACTTATGATAAAAGTTGTTTAACAAACGATCATACATTCAAATCGCTATTATTGGTTTCTATTACAAGGGTGTACACGCAGTAGTTGGAACAGTGAAACAAATGCACGTGCTGTACGTGATGAGCGTTCACTTACACCAACCTTACGTGGTCTCAGAGTTTCATTTAATGTGCTGAGATTTTAATGTTCAGTTGGCAAGGTAAAGTTATGAGGATTCGCAATCTAAATTTAACTTCATTTGATTTACTTTTATGTTTAGAGTGAAATTCATCGGTACGATTTCATTGCAAACAGACTATACATATGGATTCACAATATTCAAAGCCTTCACATATATGATACTATAACAGATTTTTATCCCCCCACCACACGTTTAGCGCAAAGCGGGGTATATAGTATAAGGCTCCGTCTGTACATGTAAATTGGAATATCTTAAGAGCCGTTGACTAGATTCTTTTCATATTTGGTACCTAGGTTCATCACAGTATGCGATAGGTCCCAGTCAGGTTTGGTGACCTTGACCAAGGTCACAAGGGGACTTTAACATTTTACCCTTGTCAACGACATATCTCAAGAACCATTCACTTGATTTTCTTCATATTTGACACCAAGCTTTATCTAAGGAAGGCAAAGGGCCCAGTTGAGTTTGGTGACCATCACATAGGTCACGGCGACACTTTGAAGATTTCAGTTTGTTAATGTACATTTTCACCTTGTCAGCAAGACATCTCACAAACGAATCACTGTATTTTCTTCATATTTGACACAAAGTGAACATTTACTAGAGAACTCACAAAAATGGTAAGACTTCCGCCCTAGATTTTAACGATGAATTTCTTTGAGTGGCATTTTCAGAAGTTGGATATGTCTTTCAGTATGTTCAGATACAATTAAAGAAACATGTTAAAACTCATCCTTATCTGATGAGGGATATATATTCAGGTAATATGATTTACCAGAATGAAATTTACGGGCCGTCTGATAAGAATGAGTAGTTTGATCCAAAACCAGCATAATAAAGTCTTTAGAGACAGTATCAAAGGCTTTTTCAAAGTCTCTGAGGAGTAACATTCCACGTTTATTAATCTCCTTGAGTTCAAACATTATATCATAGAGCAACCTAATGTTATCACTGATACATCTACCTGGTATGTTGGTACGTTTGGAATCCTTTGTTAAGACTGCTATAGTCAATAAACAACATGCTGTATCAATTTTCTTTGATCTTGAGAAAGCTTATGATACGACCTGGAAGCATGGCATTTTGAAGGATTTACATGACTTTGGTTTGAGAGGCCGTTTGCCTCTTTTTATATCACGGTTTTTAAAAGACAGACAATTTCAAGTCCGAGTGGGTTCAACCCTGTCTGACCATTACAATCAGGATCAGGGTGTCCCTCAGGGCAGTATTTTGTCTGTCACTTTATTTAGTATCAAGATCAACAGTTTATCCAAGGTTTTAAACGATTCAATCGATGGATCGCTTTTTGTGGATGATTTTAATATTTCTTGTCGTGGCAAAAATATGCATACCATTGAACGGCAATTGCAGTTGTGTTTAAATAAAATAAATAAATGGTGTCTTGAAAACGGCTTTAAATTTTCCAAGTCCAAAACTAATTGTCTACACTTTTGTAGAAAATATAAGCTGCATAAAGACCCTGAACTATCTTTAAATGGCACTCCCATCAAAGTTGTTAAGGAGGCCAAGTTCTTGGGTCTAATCTTTGACTCTCATTTAACCTTTTGCCGCATATTAAATCCCTTAAAGCTAAATGCCTAAAGGCCCTTGATTTGTTGAAAGTTGTTTCCAACTCAAAGTGGGAGGAGATCATACTACCCTCCTCCACCTATATCGCTCATTGGTCCGCTCGAAACTCGATTATGGTTCCATTGTATATGGTGGAGCCTGCAAAAGCAACCTAAAACTACTGGATTCTGTCCATCACCAAGGCCTAAGACTTTGTCTTGGGTCTTTCAGAACCTCTCCTGTTGACAGTCTTTACGTCGAGGCAGATGAACCTTCTCTTAACCAACGGCGATAAAATTATCTTTACAATATATTACTTAAATTACATTCTAACAAGACTAATCCTGCTTTTCACTGTGTCTTTAATCCCTTTATGAGGATTTGTATAACAAAAACCTTCTCTTGTTCCGCCTCTTGGGCTCAGAATTAAACCATTTATTGCTGCTTCCGGCATTGAGCTGGAAAATATAGCTCCTTCCCGTCTTCTTTCTTCTCCTCCTTGGCAATTGGTTAGGCCACAAGTTGACCTAACATTAACAGCATTTAAAAAAGCAGAAACTAATGAATTACAATATAAACAAGAATATCATCAATTAAGGAGTCAATATAATACATATAAATCCTTGTTTACAGATGGATCCAAGGATGGTGGCGCGGTGGCATGTGCCACTGTCATTGGATCCAGAACCATATCTTCTCGCTTTACCAGATAACAGCTCTATTTTTACAGCAGAAGCAAACGCCATCTTAACAGCTCTTAAATATATTAATAAACACCGTAAATATAAACAATATATCATCTTTTCAGATTCTCTTTCTTGTCTTCAGGCTATTAAAAACTTATCCTGTAAACATCCACTTTTGTTAGAAATTATTGAATTGTACAATGAACTTGCTACTGGCCAATGCGACATCGTCTTTTGTTGGTTACCCAGCCACGCTTGGCATTTCTGGGAATACAATGGCCGATCTTGCTGCTAAGGCAGCACTCAACCAATCTGTGACACCACTTCTTATTCCTTACTCTGATTACAAAGCCAGCATTAGAGCATACATCCGCGATCTAATGCAGAAGAAGTGGGACACCCAAGTAGGTATTAATAAATTACATGCAATAAAACCCTACATTGGTTACACCTACTTGGGTTGTCAGTCCAGATTTGAAGAGGTCATTATGCGGGCGATGTCGCATTGGCCATACTAGATATACCCATGAATATTTGCTTAAAGGCTTAAGATCCTCCGTTTTGTATCCCTTGTGATGAAAGAATCACAGTCAAGCATGTCTTGCTTGACTGCATTGAATATTCCATCACAAGGGATATCTATTTCACATCCAAAAGTCTGAAGGATCTTTTTAATAATGTCAGTTCTCATTTAATTCTTGCATTTTTAAAAAAATTAGATTTGTTGAGTGATTTGTAAATAGATATATATTTTATTATTGGTAGTTTAGATTAGCAACTGAGATTGTTAGTGGCTGTATCCTCAAAGGGGGTTGAAGTATTGTAAAATTATTGTCCTCCTGAGAGGGTACGTAAGTCCCAACACATTTAGAGTAAATTTAGGCTTACCACGTTTTTAATCGTAGAATATGTGTGCTTTTAATTTATGGCTAGATTTCTCTTCTGTCGCCAATGGCTGAAGGGATGGTGTAAATCCAACTAGGATCCATGTAGGTAGCAAAAGTAATGTAAGTCCCCATGGTTCCTAGTATGGTGATCTACCTTCAGTTATTGGCGATCTATAGTCCGTTTTTATATTGTATTGTCATTTCAAATTAACATATTTTAGTTTAATTGCTGGTTTTACATACATATCTGTGATATTCTAGTTGTTTTACTGCCCTTCGTTGGCAGGTTTTTTATATCATACACATATTCCATTTCAATCTCAAATGTTCTCGTCACGATATGGCTGAAATATTGCCGATGTGACGTTAAATAATAACTCACTCACTCACTCTACCTGGTATGAAACCTGTTTGGTTCGTGTGGATAAGATGAGGAAGAATTTTCTTTATTCTGATAGTTAAACAAGTACTGATTATTTTATACACCGAGGGAAATAGGTCTCCAGTTTTTAAGGTATTTCCTATTTTTATTAGATTTGGGGATACATGTAATAACACCTCTGTTCATTGTAATGGGTAGCAAATTAGTTTCATAAACAGCGTTAATATATCTGAATATGAATATGTTTAGTTCTTTCCAAAAGAACTTGAAAAAATCTATAGGAAATCTAGGCCTGGACTTTTATTGTTTTTCATAGATTTAACTGCACTGGTTATTTCTTTAA